ATCAAGAGCCTCTCCTCCATCACCATCGTTGTCTGCCAATTTATTTTTTAAGCCAATAAACTCCAGAGGGGAGCCCCCACATGAGGATGCTCTTTGACCTCCTGGAGTCAATAACACTCTACAAGTTTCACTCCTCTGCTGTTACCGTTTTTTTTAAAGCAGTGTTTTGTAAGATCTCCAACTGACTATGCAGGGAACATGTGGATCTGTGTCTCTCTCCCCCGCTCCCCTCTCCCTCCACCTGCCTTTTTTGGTGTCTAAGTAAAATATTTAGCTTTTTTAAAGCTTTTTTTTTTTTTTTTTTTTTGGATAATAATAAACCTTTGGAAAAAAACCTGAAAAGGTCCAGCTTTGTGGGTGGTGGGGGGGGTGGAGATGCTTTGAAACTCTAATGTTGATGTAAATACTTTGCAATTTGATAATTAAATACAAACAGACCTCACCAAAAAAAAAAAAAAGGTGTAGCTCATGTATGAGATAAATGCTTAGCATCCCTCTAACAGGAGCTGGTGGTTCCTGGAGCTCATACAAGTCCCATGTGTGGCTTCTGGTGCTTCAGAGGCTTTTTCTGGCTGATGCTTCTGTGATCTGGTGCCACTTCTGTCCTGCTGGAGCCATTCCCGTGTCCCCATGCAGGCTGGTGGCCCAGTGCAGCCCCAGTGCCTGCTCCTGCAAGAGGAGCCTCATCCATTGTGTCCCTCGTGCTCCAAGGGACAGGGACAGCCGGCTGGCAGTGGCGGGCGAGCTCCCTGTGCCTGAACCCCTCCTGCAGGGCAGCACTGACATGGTGCCAGGCATGCCCCAAGCTGAGCTGGGATGCAGCCTGCATCACCGGTGGGACCCCAGCTGCAGCCACCGAGGCGGAGCAGAGGGCTCTGGCACGCAGCGTCAGGGAGGGACCCCAGGGGCTCTGCTGCATCCATCGCTGCTTCCCAGCCTCCGCGTGCTGGGACACCCGGGTCCCTGCCCACACGCAGGGAGCGCTGGCCCCCACGGGGCTGCGAGTGACACGGTGACCCTGGCGTGCAGAGCGATCTGGCCAAAGCCAGGGTCGGGGCCAGCAGAGCCGCCCCAAGCCCGGCCAGCAGGAGACCTGACTGCCAACCCCCATCGGCTGGGCTGGGGGGGACGGGACAGGAGGCAGCCCACCCTTCAGCAGCATCTGCTTCATCAGCAACTACAAGAATCAGGCCTGCTTTGTTAGGATAATTAGTGGGTGCTGATTGGGATCCCTCAGTAATTAAGTAATTGATGTATAGCACAGTGTTGGGGGGAGCAGGCCTTCTGAAAGTAGGGCAGCTGCTGCTGTTGCTCCTTCACCACCACCACGGTCCAGGGTGGTTTTGGTGCCCTGAGCCCCTGGGTCTGGCTGCTTGGCGCTGGCGTGCGGCTGCTCGCTCCTCCTTGGCCTGGTAAGTGACTCAGTCTTATCACCTTAAATGTTTAATGCTTTATGCTTTGCTTCTCTTTAAAGCAATTAAGCGATTGAGGGATTATCTCTAATTGGCAAGTCCCTCGGTCCGTGTGCGATGCGTGGGCTGGGTCAGTGGAGTCGCCCCCGGGAGGGGAGCTGGGGCTGAGGCTCCTCCAGCCTACGGCTTTGCACCTTTGGCATCACTGCTTGGGAGAGGGGTGGCCACAGGGAGGTGGCCGCAGGCCAGCGCGACCCCTGGAGCAGCGTGGGTGGCTGCAGTGGGTCATGCCAGAGGGATTCAGTACTTCCAAGCCCTGCCTATGGCACCGCTCGCTTCCTCCTCTGTCCCCTTTGCTCCATGGCCGGTCCTCAGCCTTAGTGGCAGCTGAGGTATCTTAAAAAGATGGTTGAGACACTTGATGTACCTGCAGCCCACCCTGGCTGTGCTCGGTGGCTCTTTTGCCACAGAGTCCCTCCCCTCGGCCCACTCAGACCAGTGGGAGCCCCTGCCAGGCGTCCCCAGCCTGAGCCAGGCAGATGCTCCTGGGGATTACACCACACGGCTCCTTTAATGGACTTAATCTTGCTGTTTGCTTCACGCTTGTGTTGCGCCCTGTAAGCCTGGGAGAGGATTTGGGTGTTAGGGTGGGGGCTGCGGCTGCCCCCACAGCAGGTCTGGCGAGGATGTGGGGGTCCTGCAATTTGTGCAGGCAGTGGGTTTCTAAAATGGAGAGGATGAGTTGATGTTTGGCCTAAACATCCCCTTCACTTTCCCCACGGCTTGGAGGTAGCATCCCCAAAGTACTTGGGGGGCAGCCTTGAACTGCTCCGTGTGCTGAGGATCCCCCAG